GGATGCAGGATGGGTTATGAGAAAACACATTGGAAACTGCTAAGTTAAGCAAATTGAAACAAGCTCCTAATTACACAGTGCCCTGAGATGTCCCATGAATGCCAGAGAAGGGAGGGAGATTGAATCTTTCCCATTCCTTTTGAAAACCAAATCCTATTTCCCTGAGCACCTGTTGTGCAATCTAGGCTTCTAAGTGATGCAGTTTGGGAAATCCTCCCTCCCTTGGGAGAAACTGAAAGAGCTAATCCAAAGTCATAGTTGATCTTTATTTGCACAATTTGATAGCTAATAGAGGAACATGTATTTTTTTCTTCTGCCTCTGTATGTTGATAATAGGACAAAAAAGAGTGGGGAAGCTGAGGGAACCTGGGCCAGTAACACTTTCATAGGGATGACAAGCAGGAGATTAGGTGCCCTGATTTGTGCTCAGCACCCAGATGCTTCAAAATGTAGTGGATAAACAACAAATTGAATGCTCCTGAAAAGTCAGTAAGTAGCTGGAAATCTGTACTAATGAATTGTTATCATCTCTTTAATTCTTAGGGACAACTAAATCAATGCTTTCAACTTTGTATAAGTGAAGTTTGGGCAGGATGGAGAGAGGTGAAATGTATATGCGGAATCTTCACTAGGAGAGAACTTTTTGGAAATGGCACTAAACTCAGAAATAGATGATTTTTTAAAGATATAGATATGTAAAGCTTTGGTTAAATTTGAAGAAAAACAAATGGGATGTACAAACTCTTTTCTTTTTAGTGTATGTGCTGCCGAAGTGAGCACAACTGGTTTCTTTTTAAAAAGGAAAGTTCCAGGGCCCCTGCTGTAGCCTCTGAGTACCCAGGACATTTCAGCCCACCCTGCAGGTTCTGCAGTCAGAACTTTGTGTGTGTGCCTCTGCACCCTATTAGATGTACAGCGTCTGTTGCTGAGTGTAGTCACCTGCCCAGTGAAGGCTGATCACCATTTAAAATTGGTTCTTGGCACAGTGGTTTGTCCTGAGGTGCACTGAGCCGACTGAGATGTACTCAGCCATAATGTATCCACAAAAAAGGAACGAAGCCCACTGCAATGTCATCTTGGCACAGATAAAGATGCCAGATTTACTTGAATATGCAAAACGTTGGCCAAGAATATGCAAGATTTATTTAACCTCTTCCTCAAATAATTTTTCTGTGTTAAAGCAAGGAAAAAATAAATGACATTTGCAAATAGAATTACACAAGTATATAGGTATTAGATATTTGATGTATAGCTTCTCATTCCCTAGTTACACATGATTTTAAATGTGGTTATTAAAAACCAATTTTCTTTTTAGATTTATAGACTCTATTTATCTATCTATTGATCTATCTGTCTGTCTACCTCTCTCTGTGTCTCAGATGTATATGCCTCTGGCCAGAGGAGAAATTGAGTTGCAAAGAGAAAAATAATCCAACAGTCCAAGATATACCTTGGCTCACTAATACTGAGCCTTTGCCCTTTGCTGAGAAATGTGATAGGAACTGCCCTGAGTATTCAGTTTCTGTCCTTCTACCCTTATCTATAATTTTAGCAGGATGAGCATCTGCTACCATGTGACAAAATTAGGCATCCTACAAGTATTTGTTGTTTGTAATTGCCAGGAAGGAAGCACCAGTTTTAAATAACCTGGTAACTTTACCCTTGTCCAGGGCCTTTAGTTCTTTTACAATCTCCTTTTTATCTCCTCTGAGTTAATTTGAACAAACTTTATTTACACTTTGTATATTTTTGTTGCAATTTTGTCAAGAATGTTACTATACTGCATGGCTATTGTGTTTTATTTCATAATGTAAACATTTTTAAAGGCAATATATAACTATATAAATGCAAATAAGACATCCCAAATAAGTCATTTAAAATAAGACTCAAATCAGGCAAGATTTCAGGATCTAGTAGTGTAGGCTTCCATAGTTTCTAGAATTGTTAGTATTGATAATTTGCAAACATTCAGTAATTATATTTATTCAACAAATGGATAAGTCTTCAGCATCTTGAGTCTTTTGTGGAATTTAGGCAATAAGTACATAATCCAACAGCAGATGGCTGACAGAAACATCTCAGTCCACTTAACTGTGGGGTATTAAGCAGTATGTGGAGTCAACTAGATTATAATTGTGTAAAATCATCCCTGGAAGATGGTTGTGTAAAATCATCTCTCGGTAGTAACCAGGGGGAACACCACTGAGCTTCTAGGTCAGGTTCCCCCAAGATCCAACCATGACAGGACCCAGGGCAGTCTTCAGAGGATGGTCGATCCTTCCCTGTTCACAGAGACAAAGTCTGCCTTGTCCTTAAGCATATGACTTTGTACGAAAGATGCATACCAGAATTTAAGCAACAACATTATTTTCTCAGTCATTATCAGTAATCAAGTTTATAGTTGTCTGATTTGTCCTTTATATTACTGTCCTAAAGCTACTATATCAAGTTACCACTCATTAGCTGACTTGAAATAACAGCTTTTTATTCCTCAGAGTTCTGGAGGCCAAAAGTCTGAAACCAAGGGGTAAGCCAGGCTGTGCTTGCTGTAAGGGCTCTTGGAGAACATCCTTCCTTGCCTCTTCCTAGCTCTAGGTGTATCCCAACAGTCCTTGGCTTGTAGCTGCACCACTTCAATCTCTGCCTTCATTGTCAAATGGCCTTCTTTGCTTTGTCTCTGTGATTCCTCTCCTCTTCTTATGAGGACACTGTTCACTATATTTAGGGCTCACACTAATCCAGGGTTTTCTCAATTCAACCTTAACTGAAACATACAGAGACTGTATTTATACAGAAGGTCATATTCTGAAGTTCTGGGTAAACAAGAATTTGGGGGTAGGAAAATATTCAACCCAGTACACCCTCTTAATTCTGGCTTACTTTCTAAGTACTAATTTTTTTAAAATAAATCATTCTTCAATAACTATCTTAAAGCTTATTAAAATAAACTTTGTTAGGAATGCCCTGTGGGCGTGAAAGTTGCAGTATTATGCAGCTGAACTGTTAGTTTTCTGGAAATCAGATGACAAAGAAGTAACCTTTTGCAATATATTCCAAAAAAAGTGATCAATTATAGAAAAATTGAAAGCCTATCTAAATATCTACCAGTGGCAAGTCATTTGATACATGAAACCAATGGGACATTGTCCATTCATCAACGATCACTATTGGATGAACTTAGTGGCACAACAAGTGGGACACCGGTCTTTCTATCCTTCACTGTCACACATACACAGTCCCAGCATGTCCTGTGAAATAGTCTCACAAAAAGAGAAAGTCTGGCCTTAGAGCTAGATAGCAAAAGAAAGGACTAAGATGAATTCAGAATGCGGAACATTTCACAGGACATTTGATGTCTCTTCAACAAATATTGCATTCTGAAGATTCAATAGTAGAAGTACTATTCTGGGTTAAAGTTTAAAAACACACTTATCAGAGACATAAAATGGACATCAAATCTTGGTTCAAATAAAATAACTACAGTTTAAGATATATAGGGATATATAATATATAGGGGAAAATATATGCAGGGAAAGTATTAAAATGGGCTATGCATTATATCATAGTAAGGAATTACTGCCAATTTTGTTGGGTCAAATATTGACATGGTCAATTCTAAAACAAGATGACCTTCTCTAGATATGCACAGAGAAGTAATTAAGACTGAAGTGATATGGTGCATGGAATTTTCCTTAAAATATTTCAGCAGACAGAATAAAGAAAGAATAGATAAAGAAAACATAGTAAGCAAACTATAATTATTAGGTCTTCATCATCAGTATGTGAGTGAATATTTTAATTTTATCTCTACTTTAGTGTACACTTGAAAATTTCCATAACTATAAGTTAAAATAGATAAATCTTAGACTATTAATTCAAAAAACAATTATTTTTTTTTCTGAGCAAGGTTTAAAAACTCCTTTGTCCATATCCATTATCAAGAGACTAAATAGTCTTAGGGACCACCAGTAATGACCAGAAGCAGGCCTTCTTATGTACTGCTGGAAGGATAATAAATTGGTGCAGCATGTTTGGGGGGCAATTTGGGAATAGCTTCCACGGGACAAACACTCTTACCCATCATTCTAACTTCTAGGAATTTAACCCATGAACATATGCACAGGAATGCTGTGAAATGTTCCTGGGCATTCACAACAATATTTTAATACTAAAGAACAGGAAGGACTCCACATGTCATCAGCTGAGACTGGATAAAGAAATTATTGCCATTAAGAAAATGGAATATTTAAGCAGCTCTCACAATTAATAAAGTTGATTTATACTGACAATGTGGAAATTTTTCCATGATACATGAAATTTCAAAAGTGCAGAAAACTAAGAATCCACTTGGAGTTTTAAAAATATCTAAAAGGATAGAAGAAATGAATAACACTAGTTACCTTCAAGGTGTAGAATTGTAGCAAAGTAGGCTTTAGCTTTCTATTTTATGTATTTGAATACTTACCATGTTAGTTCTGTGTTGTGACAAAATACCTGAGAAAATCAATGTAAAGGAGGCATGGTTTATTTTGGCTCACAGTTTCAGAGGTTCAGTCTGTAGTCACTTGGCTCTATCTCTGTGGTGAGGTAGAAACACCATGGTAGAAAGGAATGGTGGAGGAAAGCTGCTTACCTTGTGGAAGCCAGGAAGCAGAGAAAGTATGTACTCTCAGGCCTCCTCATTCTTTATTGTTTATTTTACCTGTGCCTCTGCCCTATTGGATGGAGTCTCATATGTTCAGAAAGAGTCTCTCCCCTGTTTGCTAGCCCACATGCCAATCATGGGAAAAAAAGAAAATCATCTGATCTTTGACTTTCACCTTTACTCATTTCCTATTTTCTGTAACTAACTGTACTTTCCTAACTAGATCTTATGTCCTAAGAGAAGATATTTAATAGAAAGCATGATAGTTGTGCAGGATTATGAAGAATTTATTAGATTAATTTTCTTTGTATTCTCACTGAAACAGAATTAACACCTCCTTCATTTTTTCCCCCAGACATTGTGGATGCTTTATCAGATCCAAAGAAATTTCTTTCAATTACTGAAAAGAGAGCAGACCAAATGAGAGCTATGGGCATTGAAACGGTAAGTAGAAATGGTTAAGGATAGCCAAATTGGGAAAGTATGCTTATCTGACAGTAGTTTAAAAAAACAAAATAAACCAGTAAGTATTACAAGTTTGAATAGTTTTCAATTCAATAATAATTTCAGGGGTCTACAGGAATATAGCATGTTTAATAAAATGTGGCCACCATCAGAAAGTCACTGAATCACCAATGGCTTAGTCTCACTAATCTGTAATGTTTTGAGAAAGTTCAAAATATAGGATGCTTTTGTAATATGCTGAAATAATGATTAATACATCTCAATGAATTAATGAAAGTGGCATTTATGACAGATTGTACATTTTTTTACCTTTGTGTTACAACCTTCTCCCATACCAGTGGACACCTGTATTGTTGGTTTCTTTATTTTCAAATGTTCCCTTTACCAAACTACTCAGTTTGGAGTAGAAGCAGGAGTCTCTTCAGTAGCTAGAAAAAGAGAAGGCATATCCTTCTCTTTCTTGGCTTGATCATTTGCCTGCAGCCTAAGGAAGCTACATGATCTTTTACGAGAGTAAAAGTCTAGGAGGGGGAAATGGGAAAACCTGAGAGGTTCAGACTAGACATTGTGAGATAGAGATGTGCAACATATTTGGCCTTCAGTGAAATTCATTTGGGTCAATATGAATATTTCTTTTCCAGAGTGACATAGCTGATGTACCCAGTGACACTTCCAAGAATGACAAGAAAGGAAAGGCCAACACAGCCAAAGCAAATGTGACCCCTCAGAGCAGCTCTGAGCTCAGACCAACAACCACAGCCACCATAGGCTCTGGCATGGAAGGCAAAAAAGGTAAGGGAAAGTTGGTGGGCGCTCATCTCTTCTGCAATCTCAGCCTTTCTAAAGTGTTAAGTAAAAGTAGGTATTTAGAATTCTAGTAATTTTGCCAATTTTCCTGTGCCCTAAAACTCAAAAGCAACATGTTTGCTTCTGGATTTGACAAATTGTTTAATTTCTCTGGGTGTTTAGTAGAGAATCAACATTCATATTTCATCTTCTAGAGTCTCTGAACTTAGTTTTGTGAGGTATAATCTCCACAGACTTAGAAAATATTTAAATTCAGTGTCTTCTCTAGAAGAAAACCTTTCACCTAGTGATGTTAGTAGCTAACTCATCCCCACTCTCTTCGAAACACTGTCATAAGGACTATCACTATCTGGACAGGCAGAGGGCTGGGAAACCAACCGTCATGACCATTTGAATATTCCTAAATTCTTGTTGTGGCAATTACTCATAATTCCCTGCTATACATAAATACTTAGTATCAATGATACTTTATACAATGATTTGTTTATTTGCAAAACTTTAAGATAGGCAGTTGAAGGCCATTCATTGCTTGTGGGTGAAACAGGAGATCGTAGAGATGTCATAACAGAATGGTGTGTCCCATATGCTAGTATTCTGCCGAAATGTACAGAAACAATTGTGCTTCTTGTTTAAAGTTGGCTTTCATTCTCATTGGCCAGGCATACATCCTGATTGAGTGGCACCTGTCCCATACTGATAATTCAATATTTTTAAAATCTTCCTTGATCTTGAATCATGCATTCTTCTAACTTTAATAAGAATTTCTTTTTCTCCTGATGGGTTATCACTCCATATACATCACTTTCTATTTATATATGAGTTCAGTGTCTTGGCTAGAAGCAAAATAAGTTGTTCATTCCCTTAAGTACACAAAGGGCTACAGTTTAAGGTAAGAAATGACAAGCTTTCCCAAATCAGAGCAGCACAGTAATTTAGCAGGAAACTAAGTGTGCTTTGTTGAGCACACTTTGAGCTTTGTGAAACAAATTACATAATTAGACTACATAAAAGTAGCCCTACTAGTACTGGTCCTGCAGCTGTTTGTCTGTTCCTTCCTGAAAAGAACATGGAGTGAGGACATGACACCGACTTCGAGCATTCCACACCAGTTCTGGTCATTATTAACATTAGCTCTTAGACAAAGATGGACAGTGGAAAACAAGAGAATAGTGTTAAGGTTCTTGTCTCACACCCACTGGTACATAAAGACAGTAGTAACTAGAGTATGTTAAGTGGCCTGAAAACACTGCAGTGTGACAATGTACAGAGGACAAGTGCAGTCCTAGTTCTAGAAGGAAACATGCTTCACCGTTGGTTCCAAACAAGGCTGCATTTGAAGAAGCCAAGCAGCTGTGACTTCCCCTCTATTCTTTCCACAGAGGCCATATCAAAGATGATGACCTATACCTGATTTTTTGGCATTTATTCAGGATACCACAAGCATACTTAAAGTCACAGTTGTAGGTTCTACTGTACTAGGACATTCCTAGGTGCCTTCCTGGGCTTTATAGGATGGGGCTGAGGGAAAAGGACAGGATCCCACAAGCAAACACTCATGCAGAATGCAGTGGGGGCCAACTACTCATGATGCAGGAGAGGGCTGCCTTCCAGCAGGGTCCCAGAGAAGACTCAAGAGTAAGATCCTAATTGATCTGGCCTGGCCTGACTGAGAGAAGAGGAGTGCTGAGGTCCAGAAAGGCAGCCTAGGAGGAAGCATCGTGAGAAGCACCTAGGTGTAGGGAGAGGATCTGGAGGCCTGACTGGGAGTGTCTAACACTGCACTTTCCCTGGAAAGGATTCAGAGATCAACCCAAAAAGGTGGTGCGAAGCAGCGATCAATGAAGAGTTTTAAGAAGGGAGAGATGCTAAAGGTCATTAAAGATCATGGCATTCATGCTTCTATTATAGCACTTACTGCTTTATATTTATAGTGTTAACAAGAGGCAGAGGTCTCTGCAGGTGAGACTGTACCTCATCCTCAGTGTACCTCAGAACTGTGTCTAGTAGGGAGCTAGCAGTCTCCTTTCTTAGGAAGCAAATGGTTAATGGGTGAATAACAATGGCAAAAAGGGTCTAGGAAGCTGAAAGTAGTCAACTGGAGAAAGAGAAGGAAGACTAGAAATAATTGGTAACTTGGATAGGGGTTTGGGGGGACAAAGGCTCGGGGCTAACTCAGAAATATCAAGGTTAGGTCCCAGAGATGGGTGGTGAGGGAAAGAGAGGAGTCAAGAGGAGGAACTGCTTTGGAAAAAAAGATGAATCTGGTCTTGGTCATCTTAGAGGTCAAGCTGTCATTGATATATCTGGCGGAAACATGTGACAGAAATCTGTGGTAGGTCTACAGGAGGAAGGAGGGACGGAAAGAAGTTGAAGGTGGATGAGGATACTTAGGTAGAATAAATGGAAAAAGAAGGAAAGAAGTGAAATCTGTATAATAAAAATTAGTTTTGAGAAGGAATTCATCCTGAGAACTTATGACTACAAAAGTACTTGCATGGATAATAAGGGTGGAAACCTGGCTGGAAAAATGTGGTGACTTAAGACATAAAATATTTGTTCAGGTGGACAGTAGCATGTCTGTAGGAAATACTGAGGAGAAACAGAAGAAAGATGCAAGAGGGGGACCTGGTGAGATGGCTCCGAGGAAGTGGTGGTGGGGAGAGACTTGGTGTGTAGATGGAGTGGACAGTGCTTGCTGCAGACAACTCTGAAGGTGAGCAGTTGGGAAGTTCTCAACTGCCTCTCCTAGACATGCAGTGACTGTACTGGGAACAATAGATTAAGAAAACTCAGCTCCTAATTAGTTTCCAAATTAGAGTCTGAAAGAAGTCAAATTATTTTTAAAGAGTCATGTTGATGAGAACAAAAATTTTATGTAGTGAAATTTCAACTGGCCAGAATCTTTGGAGCCCAAAATGTGCTGCTCGACCTATAGGGGAATCCTATAGGCTTGCCCCATGTAAGAGAGAAGCCTGGAGTCATATGTGGCTTTTCAAATGTATTAGATAAATTAAGCTTTCAAATTTAGCCTGAGTTCCTTAGTCATCTTAGATTTTCAAGAGCCACATGTAGCTGGTGGCTCTCCATTGCCACCTCACACAGAAGGCATTTCCATTATCATCAAAAGTTTTATTGGTCAGGCTACTCCAGGCACATAGATGGAACTGAGTAGGTATCAACTCTTGTTCTGTAGAATGTGGATATATTCCCTAATTTAATCACCTGTGGGGATTGAAGTGTTTGCAGGAAATTTGTATCTTTCTCTGACAATGCAAAATGTGGCCGAAAGAGCTATATGTTTGAGCAAGTTCCTGTTTATCACATTTTAGTTGAACCAAGACCAAAACAAAAAACAAAAAACAAAAGTCTCATCAGTTTGGATCAAGCTCTTAGTATTTGGATCAAACTCCCCTGTCCTGTGTCCCCAGATCCTGTGTGTTCATTTTACAGACTGAAGAACTGAGATCTGGACAGGGAACTCTTAGGGAAGCCAAGATTTAATCCCTTGCTATATGCTGCCTCTTGTTAGTGGTCTGCCATTAAGCAGAGAGGTAGCTTGTAACATGAGTCTCAAAAGATCAGGCAAAGAAACCAACATTCCCATCACACCCCAACCTAAAATGTTATAGATTACATGGGTCATTTCTCTTGGCCAAAACTCCTTTTGTGGCCTTCCCATCCTTACACTGTATAATGTGAATCTTGTTCAAATGAGTCAAACTGGAACAGAAAAATCTGAGACCTGATGCTGGTTTCTTGAATGCACCATACCTGGCCTTTGGGATTCTAATGGAAATCAGTTCTAGTACAGAGTGCACATTCTTTTTGTTTGCCTAAGATGAAAATCTGCCAACAGAACCCGTTAGAGATTCTTCTGCAGCTATGGTTGCCATGACGACAACTGGCCTAGCCTCGCTCAGATAGCAGGATGACTTAGTATATTACTCTAGGTTCCCATGCCAGCATCCTCTTCTACCATGGTTTGATGTCATTATTTCCTGTATATTAAAGGCATGCTGCACTCAACAGCATATTGCTTAAGTGTTAAGATTCATTTTGGTAAAAGAAGTTTTTTAAAAAAAATGTTGTTTTGTGATGATTAAGTTGGGAATAGAGTTGGGATTTAGTTGACTAATATAATAAGTGGTGAAAAACAAAGATAAAAGTCTCTGTAGTCAAATCTGTTGTGCTAAATCAGATCCCCATTATGGGGTCCTTTAGCTCATCCCCCAGCTGCTAAGAGTGTTGGCTGATTGGGAATTATAGCTATTCCTTCTCCAGAAAATTGTCCTGAGCCCATGGGATTCCCTTGCCTGGAAATGCCTGGAAGGTTTTGTAAAACCTCTGAAGCTCCCAACTAACTTATGTGAGTCACAACAGCCCAGGCTCCTTGACTCCTGGTAGAGGACTCCTGAGTGCATTTAGATTAAAAAGAACTCCCATAGGATCAGGCTGAGGCCGGATTTCAGCTAGAGATGCCGCCTGCCTTCTCCCTGTGCCCTGTCCTGCTTACCCTTCTCCCTTAGAGATTTCTCCTGAGTGTCTGCCCTCAATAACTCATGTGTACATGAATCTCCTTCTCAGACTTTGCTGGTAGGGAACCTAAGACCCTAAGCATTTCGGTGGTCTAGTTAAAGCTTTGTAATAGAATTTAAGGTGTTTATATTGATAACATTCCACTAAGGCTGGATCAAAAATTTTAAGTAAGATTTCAAAACAATGGATTTTATGTGATCAGCTATTCTTTAAGTTTTCATATACACAGTGACTTTTCTGTGACTTTTTTAAAGGTATTGAACTTATCCCTCAAGTGAGGATAGAAGATTTAAAGCAGATGAAGGTAAAATTGCTTGGTCATTTTGCAAATGCTCTTATACTATGCGTACTGGTAAAACCAATATGGTTTTGTTTCTCACCAAGTGTAATCATTCTGACTACAAAAAAAACTTATTTCCAATCTTCTTTTTCCTCCCACAGGCTTACTTAAAGCATTTAAAGAAACAACAGAAAGAGCTCAATTCTTTAAAGAAGAAGCATGCAAAGGTAGTGTCTTGTGTGTATGTGTGCTTCATTTTATTGGTTCATTCATTATTTGTTTTCAGATCTCTGGTGAAAACCAACAGCTCCTGTTTTGTGTTATGTACAGATGAATCATTCAAAGCCATTTAACTGGTTAGCAATGAATTAAAATATAGAATCCATTTGGGATCAGTCATCACTACTTCTAACAGTTATTTCAAAAGCAGAATAAAGCTTCACCCATTTAAAAATTCTTCCACTAGCAGTATGACTTTATATAAAATATTGAGCAATAGCCTATTGAAGAGCAGCTCACAGTCTTAAGTGCTGGTCACCTAAGTTCCATGGGTCACTGTCTCATAGTTTGCCACACACAGTGCATGGAGGAGATGTTAGCAAGTTGAAACTTCCCATTCATGACATCTGAGAAGAGAATACTTCTTCCCTCGCCTCCCAGGGTAATGTAAACCCTGTTTGGTAGCCTACTGCTGAAATATATTTATTTTTTCCTATTGTCATAAGAAGTCTTTATGGCAGTGATTCAAAATATTTTTAAGAACTAGTTGCAATATTAAGAGAACAGTAGTATATGGCCCAGGAATTCTCCAATAGGTTGAAAATCTTTCCAGCACTCAAACAAGATCCTTCATTCTAATGTTTCTTCACAGGAAAAGGAAGGAAATGTAGCAACTCTTTTTCCTTCTTAAGAGATATAGCAATGGATGCTACTGCTGCTGGAACGTATGTGTCTTCTTCCATGAAGGGCAATGAGAACAAGAGGAACTTCATGCCTTAGTTGAAAGGACACTTCACACCCTGACCCGGATCTCACACCAAGATCTGTCCAGCAGTGCTGGAGGCTTGCATAGTGAGGCTTTGAATCCCTTCATCAAAGATGTGAAGAACATGGCCCAGAAACATGTCACCCTTTGAGAGTTTGTGCTCCCTTAAGAGGTTCAGCTTAATCTTGGCCTATTAATGTTCCCTGTATTACTGAGTTGATTGTTCAGCACATGTGCGATACAGAAGTCACTTCAAAGACTGTTTATTCCTAAGTTTCATGAGTAATTCCTCATTTAACAGGATTCCTTTAATTTCCCAATAGAGAAATGCTTCAGATTATTATAAGCATGTATCTACTGGAGACAGATATTTAGAGTAGGAATTCAATTTTGATGCTTATTTGCAATAAGATGGAATACAGAAATGCAACCGAGAGAGGGAAAAAGAAACAACATAGAATGCAATTTAAAGGAGTTAGATTATTGGGAGTGGAGTTGTTGGCCACATGCCACAGTATTATGTAACAGATTATCCTCACATTTAAATTGGATCTCTGTCTCTGAGCCGGTCTTCAGTGACCTTTAGGCTAGTTGGAAACATACATGTTTTGGACTCATTTACTATTTCCTTGCGGCATGACTAGGAAATATACTGTGACCAGTAATAACAACAATAACAGCTGCTAGAATTTTTGCATGCTCCATATTTCCCAGAAGCCATGCTCAGCACTTCATGTACATTCTCTCATTTAATACTCTCTACCCTGTAAGGTAAATTCCACTGAACCCCCCATTTTTCACATGAGCAAATTAAGGATTAATAAGGTTAGGCAATTTAATATCCCAGAGTTAAGGAGCAGCAAAGTTTGGTAATTGAATCAAAATCATCAGAGTCCAAAACCCATACCCTTATTGTGTCATTCTGTATAGCGTGCCGGATGCTTCGCTGAGTAAACAAGTCCCTCCTCACTGGGCCAAATGCAGTGAAAGCACATGGGATGTTAAGAAAATTCCCCATCTACTTTGAAGGGTCAGTATAGTTACTTGGACAGTTACTGGGGAAGAATGTGCCACTATTTCTCAAACTAGACCTACATCTCATGTAGAGTTGTCTGTTGGTTCTCTCACTCAGAGGGCAGACTCATTCGTGCCAGTTAACAGGTCTACCTGCTTAGTGAGAAAAGTGGTGAAGATGGGAAATTATTTTTCTGTGAGGCAGTTCAGAAGTAACACTGGCAGACCTTGCCCTCTAACTCAAAGCCTTGGGGTTCATTCCATGCATTTTCTTCTCTCTGGTTAGCAGGGAAATATTTGTATCATGTAACAACTTATAAATATCAAACAGCTGGACCGATCCAAGTTGCCCTCATTTTTATAAAATAACCTTGAATTTCTTGAAATCCTGGTGATATTATAGGCAGTAAAAGAAGATTTTAAATCTCTGTAAATGCTAAGTATAATTTATGAAATCTGAATTCTAGAGTCCTTTGTACAAAATCACTATGACTAATAAAACTAACATTTATCTACTGGCACTTATTTTATATACATTCTCAAATCCTCACAATGTCCTTCAAACCCAAGCAACACTCTCCACATTCTAGATGCAAAAAAAAGAAAGAAAGAAAGAAAAGAAAAGAAATTCAGAGAAGAGGGAATCCCCAGAGTATTTAACTGGTTAAATGATGGTTGTAAGCCCTGCTTGCCTATTTCTAACACTTACCTGCATCATTTACCACCTAGAACATTGTCTACTTAGGAGTTTTTTTGTTTTGTTTTGTTTTGGGGTTTTTTTTTTGGTACTGGGGATCCAAGTTGGAATCTTGCTCTTGCGAGGCAGGTGGTGGAACCACTGAGCTAAATCCCCAGTCCTCTACTTACATTTTTAAAAAGCTTTTGGTCTATTTTAATTGTTCAAGGGCTTTGGAAATAATTATTTTCTAATAAATAGATCTTTCTGTCTATAGACAGTCTACAAATTTTAGTCTATAATATTTTCTTAATATTTCCCACTGTCCCATCTAAGCTAATGTCTAAGGTGATGAGTACATATGAATATTTACTTGTTTATATATATTGAGACCAACTCTGCTAACATGCTTGTTTTTAACACAGAAAAAGGAAACACTCGTGAAGGGCAGTGGAAGGATGTACTGAATCGGTTGCTGCTGGCCACACTTGCCACCTGATCCCCATTTGACTGTGTTTAACTTAACACTGATTTTTCCACCCACATTGCAAAGTAGGGTAAATATAAAGAGGGAAATAATGGAGACCATTTTTGCAGACAGTCAGTCACCCACTGGACAGACGAGATCGTGTATGCTTGAAAAGAAACACAGCTTGACCTAATCACTTTGTTTTTAAATCCAGTCTGACTCAAGAATGTGGGCTCCAAACCAATATACTATGAGTTTTCTCACACTAGTTTTTCTTTGCATATATTATCTTGATGGTCTCAGTAACAGATTTTTTTAAAGAAATCATGAAACTGTCAGGGTGCAAGTATCTTGGCTTCTTTCTAGACTGCTTTATCAGCATGTGATTTTGGGGCCAAGAGCCAACACTTTTGTAAAAATGCATCTTCTTGTGCCCAGTTGAGACTTAATTACAACCTCCAAGATAAGATCCATGAAAATACATTAAAGTTTCTCTCCTATGTAAAATTTGTTTTTAGAAATATTTCCTTAGGAACGCTATTCACCACTGTCTACCTTCTCTGGCCCCGTATTGGAACTCTATTAATTGCCTGCAAGATATAGATCAGATTTGCTTAAAGAAAGACTTTACCCTGTTGTCAAGCAGTATTAGAGTCAAATCTCCCAACCTTTCTGTGAAAGATAATCTACAACTCTTTTGTAACAATTCTGAAGCTACCTAAGATGAGGTTAAGGTTTGTTACCCCCAAAGCTTGGTTATACAATTACCTCCTGAGGAAAGAAGGTAGCCCATCCTCTCCCCTTCCAATACTGTTTGTGTCCCACCTTGGCACTCATTAACTAAGAAAAAGGAACCTATACTTAGCCTATATCAGTGACTTTATGGAGATCTTATCTCTTATGCATATCAACCTACATAAGTAATTCTATTCTTCTCAGACCTAACAGGAAGTAGAGTATCCATGAACTGAATCCCAGTGGTTTAAGAAATGAATATATAGTCATTGTCTTTAACCTCAGGTCCAAGGGAACAAAGAGAGGGATACTGGGGAGGAGAAGGGGAAATGAGAGGAATAAAGATATGCCAAGTACAAGGAACCTAATACCCAAATCAGTGTAACATTATAAGCCATAACTTGTGCCAAAACAAATAGTATCAACAAGTACAAAAAGATGATAGGGGAACCAGAGGAGGGGTGGGGGTTTAAAAAAAACAAGCTGTAATATGTATATGTAATCATTCCCCCAAGATGACTGTAAATTACATGAATTACAAACATGTACTAATAAAGAAAACAAAAGAAAAAAGGAAATGAATGTATAACCCAACAGAAAGCTTATTTCTAATTCAATTTCTTCTTGAAATACCATGTAGGTCTAAAAAATTGCCCTAAAACTACATCTGCAGGTGGAATGCAAACTTTGAGCCACCAGTGTGCAGTATCAGCATCAAATGAGTAAAATAAAATGCCTGATAAATCTACTAAGATCTATATTTTGGTGAAGCTACTGGTGGAAGTTTTACTCTTTGCTATACAAGCAGTGTAGTTGCTAATACTGAGACTGCTGCTAAATTCATCAATTATGGTTCACACTAAAACCTCGAGAATAGTCCCTATAACTCTGTCAGGAAGTTGAAATGGGCAAAGACTTAGCAGCCACCCACAGAGTGAGCCTCTCTGTAATCTCCAGATTGCATGCCAAGCAAACATGCTTTACTCTGACTTTTCAGCCCCGTCTGTGGTGTGATAATTTACACCCAGAGTCACTTCGTCTCATGGATGAATCACAGCAACAGTTTTCCCCAAAGAACCTGTGTTTACTTTTCTTAACTTGGATGAGAAACATATATGAATTCTGCTCAAAGCAGTACACTAATTTTCTCCAAAAATGTCCCAATTAAGATTGATTTTAAGTCAATACATTTAATTTTGCTACTTTTGACCAAAATGATAAATTTCATGTTACATTGATGGTGTCTCACTATTTCATTAAGCCATTTCTTAGTTCCTTCATCTTCTAGAACAAGAAGCTGAATCTTCACCAGTCAAAAGGCAATTACACTAGGGTTCCTTTCTGTTCCTTTCCAAAAGAATTAGTGTTTTTGAACAAGTAGCCCTGAAATATTTCAGTGATCACCAACTTCCACACAGCAGTAGAGTTTTGAGCACAAAGAGAAGCAGAGACACTTTTTCAGGACCTGCCTTCTTAGTTGTACTAACTGTAATTTTAATTCAATGGGCTTTGAATTTTTTCAAATTATTTCCACATATATTTGATAACTTTGCTGCTCCTGCAACCCATGAATTAGGTCAGGCCAAGGTATCTCAGTTACTTTTCTAATACAGACATCAAGGCCTGGAAAGATTTGTATGTGTTACATAAGACCATTTTGCTAATTATTAATGGAGCTGAGACCAGAATCCAAGTCTTCTTGCTACCCTCCCATAATTTTTTGTCTACAGTTTATTTGCATATTCATTGAGCATCTACTTTGTACCTGCCCTTGTGCCAGGTACTGTTGGATACAGGTAAAAAAAGACAACTTGCCCTGCCTTTGTGGAACATTAATCCACAGAGTTAAATCCATCATGAACAACTTTATGGTACAAACAGCCTCTGCCCTCACATTTAACTAAGTTTCTTCAGAAGATTCACCTCCAGCCTCACATCCTCCATTTTTCCTCTGCCACACTAGAATATTTAAACAGTGTTCTCCACCCTAATTTGAATAATATTTGCAAGAGACATAGGAAGATGGGACCTCCAATGTATTTTAATTGAGTCTCATAGAAAGTCCTATATGTATTTACCTAGGAAAATTAACACATGTGCTAACCAAGCATGATAACTTCTAAATCTTAGAAAGATTAGGGGTAGGACATTTTAATAGGTATAAATATATTCTAGGATATATCAGTGTGCTACTCTGTTCCTGGGGCAGCAGATTAAGCTTAAAGGAAAGGTTTCTGTTTTAATTAGTCTGATTGACATCCCATATCTCCAGTCACTGCTCGTATATCATCATGGCTATTGGATAGTATGAGTCAATTTGTATGTTATCATATTTGCAAAAAGGGATATGAGACAGTTTTAATTTTTAAAATTATTCAGTAAAAGACACACTTCCTTTGCTCACCTGCAAAATATTCCCTTCCCTTCGAACACATCCCGTTATTCTTGCCACTTTCTGAAGCAGTTCTGGAAGTTCCTTTTCATGAGTCTCTTTAGCTGGACTATCATAGTTGTCTTGATGTCCTGAATTAATTCAAAATGTTTGCCTTTCAAGGTTATTTTGACTTTGGGGAAGAGCCAGAAGTCACACAGGGCCAGATCCAGTGAATAAATGCATGAGGACACACTGTAATGTTTTTATTTGATAGAAATTGCTGTAATCAGTTGACCAATGAGGTGTGATCAGAAAATACAGGGAATATTTAAATTTTAAAATTTATTATAGTAAAAGACACATTGCCCTTAGTCCCCTTCAAAGCACTCAGAATACTCCATCTTTCTTCCAGCACTTATCTCATCATTCTTGGCAATGTGTCTTTTACTGTAGTAAGTTTTTTTTAAAAATTTAGACATTTAACCATATGTTTCAGTCACCTCATATAGGTATCATTATGCCAATTATAAAAGTGAACAGACTCGCTGATGACTGCAGACTGAGGAACTTAGGTCCTACACCCAGTACCGCACTACAGAAGTTCTGACTGTGCATATCACACAAAGGTGCACCCACTGAAAATATGGCTATGTGTATTCCAACTACAAATTAAACATTCCCAGTTACACATAACTCCTTGGTCCTAAATCCATAGCAAGATCACTACATCTTTATCCCCATTGTCAGCTCCTATTCTGGGGATCGTCCCACCCAGCACAGTGTTCCTGTTTCAGAGACAGGAATGTGGAGGCCTAGTATATCAGTGCATTCTGAAGAGGTTACACGAGATCAAGTTGGCCAACAAGTCTTGTGAGCTCACTAGTGAAGCCGAAAAAGGAAGGAAACCTTGCTATAATTAAAAATCCCTTCCACTTTTATCTGTCATGAAATCTTTCAAGGACAAGTATGAATTAGGTTTGCTTAAAGGGAATTCTACTTTGGAAATTAAAATTTCATTTTTAAATTAAGTCACTCAATTTTTCAAAAATTTAACAAAAAGAAATATGACTGTGAGAGTAGTTATCAAAACTGAGCAGCATCGACCTACCCCAGTTATCACCTACCCCAGTTAGTTATTACCTACCCCAGTTATTACCGGCCCATTCTCTAAATTTCTTGAGAGAGAGACTAGGCTATAACATTAAGTACCATTTAGAGGTAGGTGTTCATGATTATACTCATTTCATCTTTGGTAGACTGAGAACCCAGAGAAATCTTATTTTTTAGTAGCACTTGCTGTAACGAAATGTCTTTCTTATTGTCCAGGAGGATATAATATTTATGGTGAAATATTCACTGTTTCCCAAGCCTCGCAGCCTTAATTTCATCAGTTAAGTGAAGCAGATCATAAAACCTTTTAAAATCTGGAAAACTGAAAGTCAGAGCTCCTGAACTCTAATCACTCTCATGACCATATCTAGATAAAAAATTCAGTGAATATGTATGGTGATGTAGATTCAGATTCAGCTGATAGTGACACCCACAGTGGCATGCTCATTGTGTACTGATGGCATTCAAGACACCCCAAAATGTGCCAGGTGTTTAGAAACCATGTCTCACATAATGGACAGTTGTATTTAGCAAAAGAAGAAATATAGTGGCTAAACTTGGAGGTTAGAGGACCAGTTTGTGGAAGGGACACAGGCCATGTGTGTGAGACAAAAAAAAAAAGAAATCAATACAAAAGAAATTACCTGGAGACATGTGTAGAAGGGACGTGAAGTGATTTGCACTGCCCATCCATGAGCAGGACTGCTTTTGGAGGTTGGCGTGTTCTTTAGACTGAGGCTGGGGGCTCCCTCGTTGAAATGCTCTTGAACAGGAAACTGTCATGTTGGATGGGGAGGTCTGCATAATTCTTACACTTGATTACTGCTTGACCTTCCAAACCAAGGCTCTGGTGAAGCTTATGAAAAATGATACCATCCCAACAGTGTGAAGCTTCTCAACTTCACCAGAAGCCCACGGTGTAACTGCAGGCCTTTCTCTTACAGGAGCACAGTACCATGCAGAAGTTACATTGCACACAAGTTGACAAAATCGTGGCACAGTACGACAAGGAGAAGTCGACTCATGAGAAAATCCTAGAGAAGGCTATGAAAAAGAAGGGGTAATATTGTTTATTTCCTTCTGACAACTTTCCTGCTTTTTATATCTTGTCTTATCTCACAGTTCAACTGCCTGTTTGGGCCCCAGAAGAACTTAGTGTTGCCTCTATTTTTATCATTTCAAATTACCCCTTGAGAATAAGAGACTTGCTGGCATCAGAACAGGGCCAGCATCAGTCACCTTAGCTATGTTCTAGGGAAGGTTCTCAGCAGAGGTCCTGAAAAAAATCTTAGCCACAAATAGTTGGAAAAAATACTTTTCCACCCCTGACAATTGGATGTAACTTTTAAATTTTGAATAATTTTAAACTTACAGAAAAACTGCAAAAATATAGTTGGCCCCACCTTACCTGAGGCTTCACTTTCAGTGGTTTGAGTTAACTATGATCAACTACAGTACAAAAAAATTAAATGGAAAGTTGTAGAAATAAACCATTCATCAACTTTGAATAATTTTGATTACAGTATATTATTATTGTTCCATTTTACTATTGTTGTAGCTAATATCTTATTGTGCCTTGTGTATAAATTAAACTTTATCATAGGTATGTATGTGTGGGAAAACAAACAGGTAGGATCTTACTACCCGTGGTTTCAGGCCACTGCTAGGGGGCTGAGCACATAGGCCCTATGGAAAAGGGGAAACTGCTCCAGTAGAGAGAGTTCTCACATGTCTTTAACTCAGCTTTGCTAAATGCTAACAACCCCCAAACCACAGTAGAATGATCAGACTGGGAAATTGACATCAGAACAATATTTTTTCATTGTATGGCAGTGGTTTTTCAGCTTTCACCATTTTCCCCCTACTGTCCCCTCTCTCCTCTGGGATCTACTCTAGAACTGCACCATGCATTCATTTTCTTCTCATTCTTCTTCAGCCTCTCCCTGACTTTCATGACTTTTTCACTTTGAAAGAATACTGCTCATTTATTTTGTTGAATGTCTCTCCATTCGGTTTATCTGGTAGTTTCTCACGAGTAAAGGGAGGTTGTGTGTGTGTGACAAGCTCATCCTGGAGGCCATGATACTTCCTTCTCAGCCCATGATGCCGGGAGAAGGTACTATGTCTCACCAAGGGCGATGCTGGTCTGGAACATTTGGCTAAGGTGATCTCTGACCATTTTTGGATTATAATGTTAGCTGCTTTCCCATTATGATTAGTACCTTGGGGAAGATGCTGTGAGACCATGCATACATTTTATTTATCTGAGAAATTTCTTTGTCTTCTTCAGTGAATTTTCTCTGACTTTTAATCTCCTTTCTTGAATCCATGCTGGTATCTTCTAGCCTCTCACAGAGAAAAAAGTAGAAAACAATGATTTTTTTTCTACCTACTTTTTATTTTTGACATTCACTCAAGATAACAGGACTGATTAAGTTTGTTACAATTTCTGGTCCCAAAGACCGAACCTTATGACATGAAAATAGTGTAGTTTACTTGAGGAGTAAAGGGTAGGTAATTACGTGCACCTGCCCTGATATCAGGCTTCAAAATTTTAAGGATGCTTTTATTCTTATTACAGTTATATTTTCTAGAGAAACACAAATCAGGTACTAACTGTGGAACAACATTACTATGCAGAGTCTACCTTTTGTTTTCCCAGTGATTTCACTGTATATCTCAGAAGCAAATTCATGGCCTGTTACTTTGAAAAGTTTTTGATATGCATTTTGAGTCAGGCAAAGCTGACCAACTCATCTCAAGGGTCACATGACCATATTGGGGTTAAATATAAGTTTGAGGGAGCTATGACTCCTCTAGACTTCTGAGCACCTCAGCAACTTAGATTGATTTTAAGTTACTTTCTTATTTTCAGTGAAATTTTAGACCAAAATGTTGAAAAGTAAGTAGAGACCCTAACATCTTTAAGGAACAAAAGTTTGACAATTTTATAGTACTTCCCAAGAATAAATTCATTTTTATTCAAAAGTCATCTTTTCAAAAATTAGTTTACTTATTCTTGTGCATGGCTGTATTGAAATTTTCTTTCCATATTTTTAAATCAGAATCTTTGTTTAGGAGATTTCAGACTCAAGCAACATATAGTGTTTTCGTTGAAAAAAAGATACTCATTTTCAACATCAGTAAGTCAATGATACTGCCTCTAGAAACCAAAGAATGGATGAAATATATATTTACTCATTATTATTTTTTATATTCAAAGGTAAAGTGGTGTCAGCATAACATTTATTATAAGTTGTTCCTGGTCAATTTGCCCGCTAGGCAGCCTATTGAGCAGCCTTGGTGGCCTCTCAACAAGTAAAGTCCTATTTCACAGTAGTGTAGGTGTTATTGGAAAAGTTCATCATCACATTTCTCCCCGGACATTTACTGCCAATTCAGCACCACTTCAGAGCTTTTTGTACTGAGCATTTTCCATATACTTGACACAGTAGACATCTCAACAACACAATAAAAGTTAACTTCCAAATCAGACATCAGATAAGTTCCTCCCGAGAGCCACAGCTGAAGAGTTTCCCACTGTGACTGAACACAGTATTAAAATGGATCAGACTCTATCTACTACAGCGAAGTGGCTAAAATGTACTGAACTAAATCTTTCAAAATTTCTTAAGTGGGATCTATTTCTAAAAGAAGCACAGACCACCTTTGATGTAAAGTATTTCCATTTAGGACTTTCTGACTTTAGAGTGGTGCAGAAGTAACATGGATTCTGTAGAAACTGTACTTCAAATTTTGAATTTGTATCTTTTCCTGGGCTTGTTAAACTCTCTAGCAATGCTGGGCAGTGGCTCCCAGTCAGCCAGAGCACCATGAGGGGAAACAGCTGATCCTCTACAGAGCACTACATTGCTAAGCCTGGATGTATTAGGCTAGGTGGATTTGATGCGTTTTTGACTTAGCAGTATTTTCAACTTATAATGTGTTCATCGGCCATGATACCATTGTAAGTTAAGAAGCACCTGTAATAGGTTTCTGTACCCGTCCTACTCACATGAAAGGAATGATTGAGATGGCAAAAAGGAGCCTCCTGCACGTGCTCTACAGCTGTGGCCTAATGAGAGGATAACTATGTCTCTCATGTGTTTTCTGCTGCTCAGTGTCTTTAAAAGACAGGGAGAGGATGAACCGGGGAGAGGGACAAGGTAAAGTTAGGAAAATTCAAACTACATAAATTGATTTTGCATAGACATCAAATAATAAGGTGATACAAAAGGGCGGTTTTTGACCTTGATTTTTAATGATATAGAAATTCTTTGTTTATGCCAATAGTTAAGACTATTGAATAAGACCTATCATTTCATTTACTGTGAAGTAACATATTCAGTTCCAGCCATCAAAAAGATTTAGTTTGATGAGAGACTTTGCACTTCTAGTGTAATGCCTCTCTCAGGGGAATGCTAAATTAATACTGTAATGAAGCATTCTGACTTGGAGTGTACATGCTGAAGACAGACGCTGAGGACCTGTCCTTGTTTAAGCAGTGATATGGAAAGGAAAACATAATCACTGAAATGAGTGCTGATGCTTTCTGGGCAATTACCTAGCATATATTTCCTATTCACAATAGATTCAGAAGGAGAAATTACTCTATGATGCCAAGAAATGCTATTTTCTTCCTCATTGGCATGTTTAAAAGACAAAAGTCTGGCTTTACAACCAAAATGAAAAAATTAGAAACTCACTTCAGAGCTGAAGACCTATTTTCCAGTTTTCATTCCCAATAATATTTTATTGAATAAATGAAAAATAGCTTGAAGAAAAAGAGGAACCAAAATGGAAACTCTGACAACAGACCCGTAACAATGAAATAATTGTTGGGTCTGAAGTTCCTCTTTGTGTAGTGGTTGAATTGAGTAATCATGATCAGATAATATTTTGCAAAGTATGAATCTATTACTAGAAAAACTCATGCTGCCCAATGAGCCAGGCATCCCACATTTGATGAATATATTGTTTTCGTCAGAAAGCTTTGTCACAAAGGTTCAAGGGAATTGGAAGATATCTAATTTCTGATATGCATTGTAATTTTCTATTTTCAGGGGAAGCAATTGTCTTGAAATGAAAAAAGAAACAGAAATTAAAATTCAGACACTGACATCAGATCACAAATCTAAGGTAAGAAAAATGCCCATTTTTTTTTTTTGCTTAAATTCTTTATTGGTACATTTTAGGTATACAATACATTTACATTTATCATTGGGTGTTTATACCTGTACATGATGTATCTTGGTTCTTATTTTTTCCCCATCTCCTATGTGCCCTTCACACCCTCCCACCCTTCCCTATTTACATAGACTTTCTTTCCATTTTTTTCTTTTCTCATAATTTTTCCTTTCCCTTCTTTCCTTTCCCCTTCCCCTTCCCCTCCCACTTCCCCTACCCCTTTGGACTTTTTCTTCCTATTTCAAATTATCAATTATTCATTTTAGTCATTTTAATCCTTATTTACACTTTCAGTTTCTCACACTAGAGAAACTATTTGGTATTTACACATGTGTCCTATTTATTTCAGTTAAGAGTATGGCCTCAATATGCATCCATTTAGCAATAAATGTCTCTAGTTTCTCATTCTTTATGGTGAGTAGTACTCCATTTTATTAAAAAACCACATCTTCTTTATCCAGTTTCCAGTCGATGGGCACTTGGGCTGTTTCCAAGCTTTAGCTATTACGAACTGTGCCTCTATAAACATGAGTCCACATATGTCTCTGTGGTATGAGTCTTTAATTCTTTTGGGAAGATACCCAGCAGGGGAATAGCTGGGTCAAATGGAACCTCTACCCCTAGTTCTTTGAGGTATCTCCATACTGATTTCCACAGTGGTTGCACCAGTCTGCACTCCCACCAAAAATGGAGAAGGGTTCCTCTTTCCACAAAGCCCCACCAGCATTTGTTATTGGTTGATTTCTTGATAGCAGCCATTCTTTCTGAGGTGAGGTGGAATCTCAGTGTTGTTTTCATGTACATCTCTCCAATGACCAGTGATGTTGAACATTTTTTCGTATATTTATTTTCTGCTTTTACTTCTTTGTCTGAGAAATGTCTGTTCATTTCAGATGCCCATTTTTGAGTTGGGTCTTTGAATTTGGGGGGTCTGATTTTTTCAGTTCTTTATATATTCTAGATAGTAGTCCTCTGAGGTACAGCTGCTAAAAAATTTTTCCCACATTGTAGGTTGTCTCTTACCTCTGTTGGTGGTATCTCATGCAGTGCAGAAGCTTTGTAATAAGTTGATATCCCAGTTGTTGATTCTTTGCGCTAGTTCTCATGCTACTGAGGTTTTGTTCATAGTCGTTTCCAATGCCAGTGTCTTCAAGAATTCTACCTAACTTATATTCCAGCAAGTTCAGAGTTTCTGTCTTAATATTTAGATCTTTAATCCACTTTGATCTTAGTTTAGTGCATGGTGATAGATATGGGTCTAGTTTTAATCTTTGGCAGGTTGAAATCCAGTTTTTCCAACACCGTTTATTAAATAGGCTATCTTTCCTCCAATGAGGGTGGTTGGCTCCTTTGTCAAAGATGAGGTGGCTGAGTGTGTCTGGAGTTGTTTCTGCATCTTCTAATCTATTCCACTGATCCTCAGGTCTGTTTCTTTGCCAGTACCATGCTGTTTTTATCGCAGTAGCTTTGTAGTACAGTTTCAAGTTGGGGATTGTGATACCCCCAGCCATGTCTCTGTTGCCTAGAATTGCTTTCTTTTATAGGTCCCTTCTTGTTCCACATAAATTTTTGGATGTTTTCTCTAGTTCTGTGAAGTATATTATTGCAATTTCAGTCAGCATTGCATTAAATCTATATAACAGTTTTGGAAGTATGGCCATTTTCACTATATTGGTTCTTCCTACCCAGGAACAAGGGACGTCTTTCTATTTTCTTATATCCTTGTCAATCTCTTTATTCAGTGTAGAGATCTTTTGCTTCTTTTATTAGATTGATTCCTAGATATTTCATTTTTTTGTATGCTATTGTAAAAGGAATTATTTCCCTAATTTCCCTCTCAGTGAGTCTGTTATTTGTGTATAAGAAGGCTATTGTTTTTTGAGTGTTGACTTTGTGTCCAGCTACTCTACTGAATCTGTCAATTAAGTCTAGGAGTCTTTTGGCAGAGTTTTTTGGGTCTTCTGTGTAAAGTATCATATTGTCAGCCAATAATGACAGTTTAACTTCTTCCTTTCCTATCTTTATTCCTTTTGTTTCTTTCTCTTTTCTAATTGCTGTGGCTAATGTTTTCAGAACTATATTGAACAGGAGTGGTGATAGTGGGGATCCCTGTCTTGTTCCTGATTTTAGCTTGAAAGTTTTCAGTTTTTGACCATTTAGTATGATGTTGACTGTTGGTTTTTCATAGATAGATTGAGATAATCAGATTGAGATAAAGACCTTGTATTCCAATTTTCTGTAGACTTTTTATCATGAATGGGTGTTGGATTTTGTTGAATGCTTTTTCTGCATCTATTGAGAAGACCATAAGTTTTTTGTCCTTGACTCTGTTAACATAGTGTATTACATTTATTGATTTATGGATGTTGAGCCATCCTTGCATCCCTCGGATAAATCCGACTTGGTCAGGGTGTATGATCTTCTTGATGACCCTCTGTCTTTTGTTTGCCAGTATCTTGTTGAGGATTTTTGCATGTATGTTCATGAGGGAGGTTGGCCTGTAGTTCTCTTTTCTGGTTGAGTCTTTCCCTGGTTTTGGAATCAAAGTAACACTTGCTTCCAGAAATGAATTTGGAAGCCTTGCTTCCTTTTCAATTTCCTTGATGAATTTAAAGAGTAGTGGCAATAGTTCTTCTTTAAATGTCTTGTAAAATTCAGCATTGAAGCCATCAGGACCTGGGCTTTTCTTTGTTGGTAAATTTTTTATTACATTTTCAATTTCCCTCATTGTAATTGGGGTGTTTAGAATTCCTATATCTTCTTTATTTAGCTTTGGAAAATGCCCATTTTTATAGCAGTGACCTGCAGAAGACAACTTTGTAGTCTTTTGGAGGAGCACCTGGTGTTAATCAGAAATAAGATAGCTTGGGGCTTGTCTGGGAGGACAGGGGACCTGGGTTCATGTTTGCCTGCAGATTAACCGGCTTTGAAAAGAGCCACTTCATGGATAATCTCTTTTGTTTATGAAAATATGCTGACTATATTTATGCTGTTCAACTCCAAGACATCAAGTGAAACAATAAATGAAGAGAAACAGAGGAAATACTGTGTAAAATACTGAATATATATCCTTATAGAAGTAAAAAATATGCATAAGACAGAAAACTATCTGTCTTGGGGTTTGAGTCCCTGTTTGATACTTACTCCATCTTAACTTTTCTTGGGAAGTTTGGGATAAGAAAAACTGAAAGCCAACATTCTAAGAGAGACTAATTAGTTGAATTTCCCCTAAGATGGGAGAAAATAAGAACCTCGAAGGCCATAATTAAGATTGTGGCCATTTGAGGACCTAAATGCTAGAACCTAAGGAAGAACACAAAGAGTTCTTACAATAATAGTAGATTTAAAAGAAAATGATTAAAGAAAGCTGTAAATCTGAGCATTTGGTTAAACAAGCTGGCTTTCATTTGTCCATATACAGCAGTTACATTGGACACAATGGCCTGACTGTGTGCACAAACCAGCCACGCTGTTCAGATAGAGTCATCCTTGGTGCACTGTGGCCTCATCTAGCATGCACTGTTTAGAGGCAACAAGCCATGTGTCCTTGAAAGCTGTTCCCCATGCTCCTCTTCTCTGGAATACTTAGTCAACATGCCATGATTGTTAGACGCTTTCCCTAAACAGAAAACAACAAACCTTGGCAACAGTGTCAGTTTGCTTTTATTGCATAATGGTATTAAAGTTTAGTCCCTTAAAACAACTATTATTTATTAGGTCACAGTTCAGTAGTTCAAAACATTTGAGACGGTTCTTCTGGTTTTTCTGGGCTCACTCATGTGCCACAGTCACTTGTATATCTGGTGGGTGACTGGCTGCTGGTTGTCTTTCCTTACATGATGAGGCCACCAGCACAGGCTCAGTCACAGGATACCAAGCATAGCAAAGGGGTAAGCACTTTACAGCTTACATTTCATTTGCCATTGTCTTGTTGGCTAAAGGAAACCACAAGTTCAGACATATTCAAGGAGGTGGAGAAATAGATTCTAATTGCTGACAAGAGTACTATGTGCAAAACCACATTGCAAAGTACATAGATATGGAAAGGCAAAGATTTTCTACACGGAGTCTATAGGGATGATGCAGTAAGTCAGAGTCCAGGAATAAAGAGTGCACAATTCTCTTTTGACCTTTGGGCTGACTGAAATGAAGGTGGAAGAGTATGAGGCGATAAAGAGAATTCTGATAAAGGAAGAATTGATAAAGGATCCATGATCCAAACAAATCAGAGTTTGCACACGTAAGGCAGTAAAATAATGGGTCATGATTAAATATTTAGAGCTGAAGTGATTGATTTATTTTAATAATTAATGATTTTCTGATCCCATTGATTTATACATTTTTTTATAGCTTATAGGCATCCACTCTTGGCCAAACAAATGCATTTCAGGGTGGGATCTGAAGTATGTGAATAATATTGTGTTTCACTTCATACCTAACCCAAGAAGATTCCAGGTGACTTCATCCATTTTCCCCCAAACAGGTCAAAGAGATTGTGGCACAGCACACAAAGGAATGGTCAGAAATGATCAACACCCACAGTGCTGAGGAGCAAGAAATCCGAGACCTGCACCTTAACCAGCAGTGTGAGTTGCTGAAGAAGCTACTGATCAATGCTCATGAGCAGCAAACCCAGCAGCTGAAACTGTCCCATGACAGGTAGGAGTAAACTCCTAGTTTTCACAAAGGATGCATATGTGTGTGACTGTGTGTGCATATATACACATGCATACCAAGGTAGTAAGTGAAATCAACCTGACATAATATGCAGCTCTTATCTATATCATATCACACAGTTGATATGAACAAGGGGAACTATAAGAAATAGCCTCTGCCCCATCCGAGGGTTTACAAGGGGTGGCAAGATACTACTCACATGAAAAGTTAAATCAAATTACAAGAAGCATGTGATACTAAGAAATGTCACAGACACCAAGGAACATCCTACCCAATGGAGCGCTGTCTCTTCTAAGTGGTCCTGGAGGCTGTGCAGAAAGGTAGTGCTAGAACTGCACTTTGGAAAGTGATCTGGGGCCTCTTAGGAAGAGAAGATACAGAGAAAGAAGAGATCAACCCGTAGAGCTTCTAGACTGATTCTGATCGCCCAATGACAAGCTGTGGAGGGGATCTCCTTCCCCCTTTCTTTTGTTTATTAGGACTTTGATGAATTTTAGGAAGACAAACCTGATTGAGAAACAGCAGCAAAGTATCAGTTTATTTGACCAGTCCCCACTACTGCAGAGTAAACATTGCTCTGGAATTACTGCAGAGTAGGAATTGGACTCCCCTGAGTAGAGAGTGTTTACATCAATGACGTTCTTTATCACAGTGTGGCTGCAGCTTGCTTGCTTCTTACTCAGCACCTCTCATGTGCCACAGTTATGGTGCACTGATATACACTGAAGAATAGAAAACAGAAGCATTGTACAAGTAAGCCAAAAAACTTTTTTAGAATGCCTAGAGATAGAAGTTCTTTTCTTTTTTCCATTAGAGATGTTGTTGATCCAATATGCAAAAAGAAAATAACCCTACTCATTATTCTGCATTTGACTGTTAGCTGCAATACCAGATTTTAGGTATCTGTAGCAATTCAAAGACACTTCAGCACAAGGCATCTTTCTAATAATTATTTTATTAGAAAAGCTCCAGATGGTAGGCATTGTCTGAAAGAAATATAGTAAAGTAATACTTGCAATACTGAGGAAGTCATTTGAAGAAACCATAAACTAGGTACAAATTTATGTAAAAAAACAAATCCATGCCAGGAACATCTTTCAAAACAACAGCAGTGTTTCAGTCTTTCCTCAGGTACCTGGTTGTTTCCCTCTTGCCACCACAGCTGTTGTTCTTGGTTAAAATCCTGGCTTTCTTAACATGTGTCAGCAACATTTGGTCATTAATAGATGTTTGTTGAACAAAATGAATGGATGAGTGAATAAACAACTGAACAAATGAATGAAGAAGTGATCAGTTTACTAAAACTCACAGAAAAAAATTTGGGAGCAATTTCTTGGGGTCCAGAGTTTCCAGAGTTCCTATACGTCTTTCTGCTGCTGTGCGCTAAGGTTGCTGATTGAGGCAGTCTTCACTTTGGCACTGTCCATCTGTTTGACGCAAAGCAAACCTCTGTATGTAGGTCCGGGAGCTCCTTGCTGCTAGATTCCAGGGAGAGCTTCCAGAAATCGCTATAGGTTCCAGGAAACACTTGTTTCTAATCACATTCATTTTAGTATTCTAAGATGTATCTATGTATTGTGCACATACATTATTTAAATATATGCAAGCCATGCATGAGCTTGAACTCACACACAGAGGCTTTCGTTGCCTATAAACGTGAGTTTTTGCAATTTCCTCTGCTTACTTGAAGCCATGTTGTCCCTTTCATCCCCATGATCTGTCACCAGCAGGAAGGTTAACACCCTCTTTCTTTTTCAGCCCATCTGGTCACAAATACTGTGGGGCACAGCCTGAAATGCTTGTGTTTTACAGAAAAAATGTCTCTTCATATGACACCATTGCCACTTCACCACTAGGTGGCCCACTGATACTCAGGGACCCATATCCACATGAGCTACGTTCATTCCTTCCTTTTCCAAAATGCAAAATAATTCAATGAGCTCAATAATGGCTTGGGAGTGGGGGTGAACCTAATCTGACTGCTACACATAGAATTGGTGTTTTGGATGTTTTTCATCAGTTAAATACACATCACATAAAATGTACCACTGTGATCATTTTTAAGTGTATGGCATTAGATACATACATATTGTCATGTAGCCACCCCTGCCACCCACTTCCAGGATATTTTCATCAGTTTCAAGTGAAACTCTAAACCTATGAAACACTAACTCCATCCATATCCCATTTGTTTATTTCTAATACATAGGGAAAGCAAGGAAATGCGAGCCCACCAGGCTAAGATTTCTATGGAAAATAGCAAAGCTATCAGCCAAGATAAGTCTATCAAGAATAAAGCAGAACGGGAAAGGTAAGGTTTAGCATGCTCATTGCATGAATTTGTCATTGATTTGAAGACATGGTCTCAGTGACATTGATTTATGTGTGGACACGTGTCATACCTGAGATATAAAACACTTGTGAAGTTTGACTAAAGATTCTGCTATTATAACTGCTATGGAGATATATTATTATTGCTTTAAAGTTCTCTGAAGTCTCTAAATTTGAAAGTCTTTAAAGTTCTGATTGTTTACTACCACCGGCAAAATAAATTTGCATTCAATGTATATATGCTTGTTTACAAACAAAAATAATAACTTCATACAATAATCAATGTAATTCTAAAATAGTCTTTTGTCCTATTGGGTCATCCTGCAAGCATTGCCCCTGCTCAGGTATAAGCACATTCTGGATAGTACTGTACCTTTCTACAGCAGGAGAACAGCCTTTGCCCCTTGATTAGCCTCGAGAAGCCCTTGATACCAAGGATCTTCTTAAATACTGTTTTCTTGGTTTGTCCTTGTGTCAGTTGGGTTTTTCTGGAAAGAGAAACCAAGGCAGAATTCCAGATGTTTGTGACTTAATGAAGCTCTTCAGTGAAGAAGCCTGGGGAAGCCGGGTGCAGGCAGGGCAGGCTCTGAGTGAAGCTGTGGTTTCAGTCGGGGTCCCTCTGTGGTCCAGTTCCAAAATCTAGCATATACTGGGCATGATCAAAAACTACAGTAAGTGTTTAAGAAAATTTTATTATAGTTAAAGACATATTCCTCCCCCTCAGAATACCCCCTCTCTCCTCAAACACACTTATTCCATCCTTGCCATTTTCTGAAGCAGTTGTGTAAGTATTCTTTTCTATCTTTAATTTTTGAAAAAGTAAAAAAAAAAATGCTAAAATAGAAGAAAAAGCAATAGAGAACATCCACAAAACCAAAAGTTTGCTATCTGAAAAAAGTTAACAAACTTAGTAAGTTTTCAGCAAGACTGATCAACAAGAAAAAGAGAAAGCAGAAATTACCAGTATTAGGATTAAAAAAGAGAAGTTACTCAGAGACAATAAATATTTATTTGAACAAGGCTATTACAAACAATACTAAAAAATAAATTTGAAAACTTAGAGTGGAGAATTACCTAAAAAGAAAAATACCCTAAACTAATTGAAAATGAAGAAAACCTGAACAGATTTACTACTGTTACCCAAGTTCAGTGAGTTGTAGATCCATTTAGTCATGAGACCCACTCCACTCACTGGTAATCAGAGAGTTGCAAGTTAAAACAACAGCACAACACTACTGACAAGACCAATGGATTGACAAGAATGTCAATGTCTAGTGGGTCCAGGATTGGGCACAGACATGCGAGAAGTGTAACGCCAGACACTGCCAGATTGAAGTGCAAATGAGGACAACTACTTTGGAGTAAAGATGAAGCTGTCCATATCCTACCAACTGGCAAGTCTAGAGTCTTGCCTACATACACCAGAAGATATGTACTAATTTCACTTACTTATTCAACAGACATTTACTGTGCTGAGTACTACAGGGCCCTTTGCACCAGATCATTGTGGTATTGTTTGGAAATAACCTGCTTTTCATTAATGGTAGCTGAAAAATAATTTAGTCTGTTCATCAATAGAAAAAATCTTTACAGGAGATAAAATAATGGAATAGTTTGAAACAGATACAACTATGAAACTAAATGATGAGTTATAAAAAGAAATTCTCAATATATTAATATTTGGGTAAATTTTGAAAACACACAAAGCAATATTGGTGCATCAGCATTACTTGGTCACTTGGTAGAAATGCAGAATTCCAGGGCCACTGGGTCAAACTCAGAAGGATCTTAAGGGTGGATCCAGCAGTCTATTTGGATAGCAGCTCCAAGTGATTCCTATGCACAGGAAAGTGTGAGAAGCACTTGCGCATATCACATATGGACAAATTAAGAAAAAGAGTAATCCTATCCAGATAACTAGAGTAAAACAGGTTCTTAGTGATATAATATTAATTCCATTCAATATCATGCCAACTGTCATTTATCTTCTTTGTTTTTAGGCGAGTCAGGGAGTTAAACAGCAGTAACACCAAAAAGTTTCTAGAAGAAAGAAAGAGAGTAAGTATTTTCTCAATTTCTTGGTACTTTTCTTTGAAAAAACTATAAACCATAGACTATGCTTAGATAGCAACCTCTAGCTAATTTGCTTAATTTCATATTTTTCTGTGCACTAAACATTCCAACTTCTCTGCTCCCTAAAAAGTAAAGTAATTGCTTGCCAAAATCTTTGAAGTAATTATATGACACCATATTTATAGAAAATGAAACCAATTATTTCCTAAGATTTTAGCAGGAAAGATCTTTTCAATAAGAGTAGTAAGTTTAAGCTCTCCCAGGTTTCAGTCTATTTTTCTTTCTTTTTTCAAAAATTATTTCCCTCACTTATAAACTTATGAACTGTTCCTCATCCATAAGTTTTAAGATTACAACCCCAAAAGTTGATAAGAATTCAGAATTCTTTTTTTCATTTCTTTTATTCTTTTCTTTTAGCTCGCAGTGAAGCAGTCCAAAGAAATGGATCAGTTGAAAAAAGTCCAACTTGAACACCTTGAATTCCTAGAGAAACAGAATGAGCAGGTATTGTGCCTAAAATACATAAAAAGTTATGGGCACCTAGCAGCTTCAGCGTGTACATGCTGTGGCCACAGGGACCCTTCTGCTAAAGCCAGGAGTCTGCATAGTGTAATGGGAAAGTGTCAAGAGGAACTTACTATAGATTTTACTGTATTTTCTCCATTTCATCTAAAAAAAACCCAGAAAGCAGTTTTTTTGGAAGAGGAAAGTGGCTGTGGGAAAAAGAGAAGTTTAATATATTAGAGGATTCCATGAGTGACATTGCTAAAAGTAAATAGACAAGAAAATGGGGATTACAAATCATGTCTCCATTTGCATCTAGAGTTTTATAATTTGTAACCTACAGGCAAGTGATATTATATTTATTTATTATTTATTTATTTGGTACCGGGGATTGAACTTGGGTCCTTGCACTTGAGAGGCAAGCAGCAGAACCACTGAGCTAAATCCCTGGCCCAAGTGATAATTATATTTAAAAGCAAATACGAGAAACCATTTATTTTCAACTTCTGTCTAAAAATGAAGTTATAAAACCTTCCTAGTGCTCACACTTGGGATCTAATGATGCCTTCATAACTTTACAAACCACCCAACATGAGTGGACACCATTCTTTTGGGGATGAACCATGTCTTATGGGACACTATTCTCCCAGTGAAGCAAAACAGTAAATTAAAAAGTACAAATAAAGTGTTATGTATACTCCAACTGTTTCATTAGTTATCAATGCCAAGATAACTGTATTTTTACCTTGATTGTAGTACAGGTAGGCCACAGCTCAGCAGCTTTCCACCATGCCAATCCAACCTGGCGGCAACTCTTCTAGCTGATAAGACAAACTGACATTCAGTGAAGGTTTTTAAATTCATTCTTCTCAGGGAAAATTTCACACTTGAAGTATAGTTCATTTGAAAGTTATTCTTTCTAGATAATTTCCTTCAATTTAGAGACTACAAAGATGTTCTCTTAAAGTGTATGCACTACACTGTTGTTCTCTATTTCCTCGCTTCTACCAGACAATCCTATTTAAGATATTTTTAATATAAAATTTTAATTTTAATTTAATTTTAATTTAAAATATCTTTTAAGGTTTTTTTTAGAGTAAATGACTCCCATTGAAGAGTATTTGACTAGGCATGCCATTCAAAAAGTCCCTTAAAGAAATTGATAGCAAGCCATAATTTATTGATTTATTCATTTAGTTTTTGGATTGCAACTGGGTAACAAATCCAACTTCTACTTTCAAAGATCCTTTGGAGAGAAGTTTTATTCATCTGCATACTTCTGAGTTATTTTTCACATTTCCTTTTCAATGAAGTGTGTCTAGTCGTGAATTGTGCACTAATCCCCAAGGAGGACAGAGGTGTTTATTGTCCTTTAAGACTAATTCATTTGACCCAGTTATAGATACACCATGCTCTGGTACAAGCCATGTTTTTTCTCTTAAAGTGCTTGCCAGAAAGTGTTCCTGGAGACACATGGGACTTGATTAAGTCTAAAGCCACCATCTCTAAAGTTTTAGAGCCTACTTCAGTAATTCAGGGAGAGGTGCCTTTGACAAGGCTTATTTTAAAATCCTCCTTAGAGGAACGGCACAATGAAAGGTAAGGTACAGTTGTTTTAACTATCTAAATTAAGAAACTAAGAAATTATGGTGTCGCTTAGCAACAAGTTTGACTAAAGAAGGTAAAGGTGCTAAAAATTACTCATCACTGCAATAGTGGTGTAGATCAGAGGTAGAGAATACAGTTTTCTAGTGTTGCTAGTTTCAGAACCTAAGTACATAATAAAGAAATTGTTTTGAGCTTTTATAATAATATATAGATAATCCAACCATATTAGTGTTCCTGCATTAAAATACTGCATTAGTGATAGTTGTATTGATTGGAGCATACTGGGAAGAGTCTAACTTTTTTTTCCTAAAATTCATATAATGCCTTTTAAGATGTCATAAATAATGTCTCCCACCCACAGCTGATACTTTGAATCATAGAAGCTTAGGAAAACACAGAACATGAAAAAGCTGCAGACTTGAAGATTTAATTAGATTCAAGGAAAAGGAATTCAAAATATCTTATCGATGCTCTCCGCAGTATAGAATTGGGACTTGAATTTTTGTGTTAAGCTTTGCATTATAAATATTGACCTATCCTATAGCTGACTCGATCCCAGGTCTTTTTAGTGTGTGTGTGTGTGTGTGTGTGTGTGCGCGTGTGTGTGCGCGCTTTAATTTAAAGATCAAGAAGCTCTCAATTCTGTATGGTAAAGCACTGTCCTGGGCACAATGCAGAAGATGCAGGGACCTCATTTCTTCCTTCACAAAAGGCAAGGTCTGAAACTATGTAGTGAGGCTCCCTTCATCACCAAATGAACATGTCATTAGCAAAAACAGTTCCCTGTCTCCAGACAAGTCCAAACTTGTAGGACAATTTCTCAAACCATTGTTTAGCCCCAAGACTTTTTTTTTTCTGTTTTTAGTCCAAAGGTAAATTAATATGAACACTTCTCATGTTTCCCTTTGTGGTTTTTTTATTGCTTCCCTGTGACATTTTTACTATATGTTCTTGCAGCTGACACCCATCAACCCCTAAGTAAAGCACAGATGAATCTACTTAATCACTAGACCAATGTTGAAGGCATGTGTTGAAGGGAGAAACAAACCAACCAGTTATATGGTCCTGATTCAGGATCCTAACCTTGTATGCCCCTGCCTTAGCCACTTTCTGGCCTTGCCTACTTAGTCAGCCAGTTATTCACTTAAAACTCCAAAGGCTAGGGGTTTTTTCCCCTGCTCAGGATTTCCCATCGACCGCCTAGCCACAATGTCTCATCCATCTTGACATGTGCATTTCGAACATTAACGACTCCATGACTGTCACACTCAAGTCTTAAAATTGATTTTTGTCATCAATCCTATCATTTAATAAAGTGGGAAAAAAGGCTGGGTGAAAGGTCAGTTCTCCACTTCCTGCCACAGAAGAGAGGCGCAGTCTGGGCTAATAGGCATCGATTGTTTGTTTTGTTCTTTTTTTTTTTCTGTTGATATCAACTGGGAAAAGTGTGTCACTAATAGGTGTGTACATGTTTTATTCTTAGCCTTTTGCTTTTCTGTATATGGTTTTGCATTCATTTCTCAAACTCACTTCAATATTCATTTATTTTCTTTGTTTTATATGTATGACTCAATTTTGACATTACTATTTTTGTACAAACAGCTTTTGAAATCCTGTCATGCAGTGTCCCAAACGCAAGGTAGGACTGAAACTCTGATAAGCAAAATATTGCTTTCCTTCTCAACTACCTTAGTATTTTCTGTGTGATCTCCATGTACGATTCACATCTGGTCATAACTAATATCTGAAGGGTTTGGACTTAAAAAGCTTCACTATGTCATGCTTGGATTTCTGATGTAACATTTAATCTGAAATGCCCAAAATCTTTAGAAAATTCTTTCTGAAAGTGCTTCAGCCAGCATTTCCAATTGCAAACCTGGGAAACAGGCCATTGTATAAAGATAACCCAGACATCAAGAACCTTGATATGCACTTTTTATATAGACCTCCAAGCCTGGCTCACAGAGTCCGATCATTCACAAATGCTAACATGAATCCAATTCATTTTGAATGCACCCTACTGAGAGTCTGTTGTTGGTTTATAATGACAGAGAGTTATGCTATATGTGCAGAAGGTTATACAATGCCTTTTTGTCATGCTTTCTGCTAAGTGTGGTCCACCAATGACTCTATTCACCCCTCATAAGATGACCATGTAATTTATTGTTTGAATTGAGACATTTTGGTAAAAGGAGCATTGTTCGTAATAGCCAGGTATATGCTGAAAATGTCCCAGGCAAATAGAAATGAATGGTCACCCTGCTCCTACAAGAACTTAGCTCTTGAAATAATCTTTTAATATCATACGATTCTTCCTTCTAAACTATGTTTAATATTGTCTTTAAATGCTAAAGGGAGAAAAGTGTAGGGAATCTTTTATTACTATTAACTGAACATCAAATTATTTAATGTTCCACTGTCATCTCTTATGAATACTGTTTGTGTCATAGTTTCATGTTTGTACATTTTTCTCCATTTATTCATTTTACTAGAGTGTTAATATATATCAGGCATAAATAATATCTGGGTAGAGGGGATAATTCATCCCAAATTTATGCAGATAGGTATAATTCCTTGGTGTTGTTATAGCCATCCTTGCCAAAGTGAAATTGAAACTCACAATATAAAAAAAGAAAAAAATCACTGTTCGGTCTGTGGGTTAAATTCATTTTGTTATAGAATGTCATTTGGGAGATTTAGATTTCTACTGTGATTCTTTGGCCAACCTTTCCTTCTGAACTTCCATTTAGCTGGAATACCAAAGCAGACTTTAATAGTAACATCAGAGTACTTCAGAGTTTTCCTCTGACTTATCTCTTTATATGCCCATGTTCCCATTCTTACATGTCCTTTATTTCAAAGTGATGTGTCACAGATAGACAAAAAGGGTGGCTCCTTGTCTCTCCAAAAGGTACAAGTATATGGGTTGGGCCAAAGCATCTAGGCTGTCAGTTGGAAAGTAAAAGTTGAAATGACCCATTTGAGTTTACCTACATTGCCAAGATTTTTACCTCTATCTGACCCTTTTCCACTTCTTGAATCAGCCCTTTGTCTTAAAATGGCCCTAATTCATGAGACTGAATTCATCATGGCTTACTTCATGGCAATCCATAAAAAATGAGTGACCCCAGAGAAGTAAAAACCCCCAGCCATAGAGTTTGGGCAATAAGATTTCTGGAACCCTATATATTCTTGTCAGGTTCTAGTCAGTGGACACCCCAGCCAAATCAATGTAACTGCTATTACTTGACTTTCTCCATCATTTAGATTCCTGGGGAATTTAAAGTTTAGGTTATTGTGAAAACAAATTGTACAAAAGCAATGCTTATTCTAAAAATTATAATATTATCTATCAATAGTCCAAAGCAACATGTCAAGCTGCAGAAACTAAATCAAACAGTTTGATATGACATAGTCTAAATATCTGGCTCATTGTCTTTTCAAGTGGTTTTACTGGTACTACATGGACCAATCCTCAAACTTTAATGTGCATAGAAATTTCCTGAGGATCTGTTAAAATGTAGACCCAGATTCAGTAGATCTTGGGCAAACCCCAAGATTTTGCATTTCTGAGATGGTCCCAGGCAATGTGATGCTGGTGATCCATGGACCGCACTTTGAGTAACAAGAATATAATGCCAGCATCAAATTTAGAAGCAGAGAGATCAGAGTTGTTAAGTGTCTTCAGGAGAGGATTTCAACATGTAAGGCCATGTTTCTGATGTTATAGGCGAAGGAGATGCAGCAGATGGTGAAATTGGAAGCCGAGATGGACCGCAGACCAGCAACAGTAGTTTAAAACTCCAAAACGCAAACTGAAGCAGCAGAATCGCCACACATCAAAAGATCACTCCTAGCTTCTGAACACACAGTCCACGGACAAAAGCTGTTTCTCTTGTGTTTCCTTCATGCATAAACAAGACGTTACCTGAGACCACAGAGACTGGGGATGACTTTTGTACTTTGATTTAACAATTTGAATATTAAATTTCCTTGCCCAAACAAAAGTAGCTGCAAAACCACACCAGTGAGGCAGAGTTTAACCATTGATGATACAACTTAAACATGTTTGTTATAAGAAACCATCACAAGTAAATGAGCTTGGTGTTAACAACTCTGCTTTGTGATGCATTAGAACATGTTTGAGGTGCAGCAAAAATAGTGCATTAGCAATTTAATAGCAAGTGCATGCACTAGAAGAAAAAACAAAATTCTGTCTAAAGATTCCTTAACAGAAGTGGTGGTCTGCTAGACAAATAATCTTGCAGAATTTTTCTACATCTAAGTTACCTCATCAATAAGTGCCATGTCTTTACCATGCCATAGCAAGCTAATTTCCTGTAAAACTTATGGAAATTAGTAGAACAATAAAAAAATACAATAGAAAAGTGTACCTGTGCCAAAACTCATCAGCGCTCAAAGGGGAACTCTGTTAGGGTCATTTAAGAAAGTTTACATCTGACACTGCTTTATAGGAATTGCTTCTGCATATTCCAGATATTGTAATTCACTGTTACACCATAAAGATTGTGGTTATTGGCAAATGTTTGTAAATGTGACCATGTATAAAGTATTTATACTCCTTAACTCACATTGTTATAGAGCAGAATCATCTACATATTGCCACATGACAAAGATTAGTAAACAGGAATATTAGAACTGTGTTTTGCATGATACACACGCACCAGTTAAGACTAATCTGTTCAGACATAGTTAACCTAATGGCAGATACATACTGGTTAAATAAATGTATGGCACAGAATATAATTTGAACTATCCAGACTTTTAGCATAATGAAAAAGTCTCTATATATATGTGTATATGAATTATGTGGGCATTCTTGATACTTCAAGTTCTAGTTTAAAAAAATACATAACTAATTTAATTTTACACAAAAAATATTTATGCAGATTTTCAGAATTTCATATCAGGAAATAACCTTTTTATGTCTATTAAATATCCAAACAATTTGCTACAGTGTTAATCTGCATGATCTTTAAGCCTGCTGTTGTCCTGTTGCAGACAGTGCATGAAGAAGTATAACGCCGGGAATTGAGCCATGCCGCCAAAGCCAGGAGCTGGAAGCAGTGCATGGAGGCCTGGTAGCCTAGAACTAATCAGATTACTGATTTTAGGACACAAAACGCCAACTGAATTGTTGTATATGCTTGTACAAATTGATTCTGTGTGTTCCTCTGAACAAAACAGAGAAATTATGATACCGTCAATATTGAAATTCAACTTCCAACTTCTCTAATAAAAAATGAAAACACACTTAGCATTCGTCAGAGAATTTGCTCCCAAGTTGTTTGCTCATAAGCTTTTTGCCTTTTACATAAATGATCTCTTCATAATTTTCAAAAGGTGCTTATTTCATGCCCCAACTGTATTTTCTCCCAAATGACACGAAATACGTGGATCCTATTTATCTTTCAATTGTAATGGCCGTGTTTTTCTGTTCCTCATATTTATTTGTAAAATTTCTCAGATACCCTACTTTTCTTGTTTGTAAAATAATATATCTTTCACACTACATATCATGAAAAAGCATGGTTAACAAAGTGTTGCCACATTTGGATTGCCTGTTTTCAAAAAGTCCGAATGGCTACTCTTCATCATGTCAAATGGCCTGTTCTGAGAGCTCAGCAGACCTCACCATTCTGTAACCTATGACTAAATTCATCTCTTGCCTCTGCTTTTGAGAAATACTACTAGTTTTGCATTTTCCTGGCAATTTCTTCTCTGGTTTTTCATCCCTTTATGCCACCATAAATAGTTATATTTTCCAGTGTTATATAATAAACCAGTATTTTCCTTTAGCCCCAATTACTTTCAGTATTTAAGACATCTTAACTCTTTCAAAGGAGCCATTATAGTAGGATTAAAATACACATGGCACAATCTGTAATAAAGATGTGCTTCACTTGCTATTATATGTTCAAGTTGCACCCAGATCCTCCATTATCACTTACTAGAAAAACAAAGTCTTGCTAATTAAAGTAACTCAGTCTCTTCCAGCTTTTAAAAAGGAAAACTTTATTTCAGGAACATATTCAATTACTTTAATATCAAATTCTCTTTTAGAGGTCCTTTCTCATTCAGGAGGTCTCTCACGTGTTTGCCCAAACAGCTCCTGGCTGCAAAGGGAAGCTCATGTGTCCTCATGACAGCTGGGAGCAGCCTCTGGCCTTGTGCTGCTGGCCTAGCCCAGCTGTGCAAAGTATGCCTTTCCACACAGGCGTTCAAGGTCAAAGCCCCTGCTCAGCCACATTCTCATTCTGAGCTCAGTTATTCTGGCATTTTTCTGAGCTGTGCAGAAATTCTGGATCTTTGGAGGCTGTGGAAGAACTGGAGGTGCTAGCGCACATCCACCTATCAAAACACCTCTTGGACTGTCAACTACTTACATCGTGTGTTTGATACCATGGAGACTTCAAAATCCAAGAGGCATGGTGTCCCCTAGAACTATGTCCCCAGAAACAAGGAGCAAGGCTGTTTACACTGGGCCCCAAGATTGTCAGGGCTGCTACTATATTTTGCTTTTCACACACCCAGGACTTCTTCCAATTTGGAAACCAGGGCAATTCTCACCTTTCTTCTTCCTCTCAGCCCAGAGAGGATACGCAATGCCCATTTCTAACTGGGATAAGCATGTAGTATTACGTTTTCCCAAATCACTTGTTCAACCCTTTTTGGAGAGATAAAAGCCTTCATGAGAAAGAAGCCCACTTGCCAAGGTAATACACCCCATCAGGAAGTACCATATTTCATAAAATGTAAGGCACCAATGGCTTATAACATGCGTTATTTTATATATCTCACAGAGTGAAAACATTTTGCCAATTAAACAATTGACACACTCTCCAATGATTAAGATAACCTCAGTTTCAGAGATTAAAAAATATAAAGAGTACGTGCATCGGAGAATCCATGAAATATAGTATAGTAGTTCAAAACTATACAAGTTCTTCAAACTACAAGCCTCAAAGAAGGGAACAAAAGAGAATCTTTTCATTAGAAAAGCTAAAGTAAGGAACAGTTCTGAAACTGGGTTTCAGGTTTGTTTGTTTGTTTGTTTACTTTTATGTATGTTGAGACAGGCCTTTGCTGTGTAGTTCATGCTGGCCTTGAACTCACTGTGTAGCCCAGCACTCACAGGGATCCTCCTGCCTCAGCCTCCTGAAAGCCGGGATCACAGGCATATGCCACCATACCCAGCTGGTTTTCAGATTTAACAATGAACTTCCTTCTAAACGATTCAAAAAGGGAAACAAATCTATCTCATCATCATTTCAGAAATTTTTTCTATATGTTCTCCTTTAATTTTTTCATTTGATCACACACCTTCAGTTTATACTTCTTTGCATATAATTCTCAAATCTCTAACTTTAACCTTGCTCTTTTTTCCCCTAAATTCTGATCCTTCCTTTCAGATTGTCAAGAGTTAAACAGCCCATGTGCACATTTTATGTAATTAACAACAACGACAACAAAAAAATCAAGTTCCTTTGTTCTTCTATTCTCCCTGCTTATTTCAATAGTTCATAACCAGTGCTGAACCTTGGGCCAATTTTGTTCTGCTCCATCTCCTTTGCTCCCACACCCAATCTGTTGATAAATCCTATGAATTCTCTCCTTACTCTCTTGGAAGTCTCCCTCTCCTCCCTTACAACATCTCTCATTCCTTAACAGCCAAAATTGTAACCTTCCTATTCATGTTCTTTACCTTTAAAATCTTTTCTACACAGATTAATCTCCTGAAATGTTTTTGCTTTTAAATATAGGATTCCTATCCACTATCTAAAGAACAATATTAAAATTATTGATACCAACATTCAGTTTCTAGACCTACCCTGCTTCCTCAGCCAGCCAATTTGAACTCATCACTCTCCACTCACAAACACATTGCACACGTCTTTTCCAGCCACGTTACAGAATGATGTCTTATCAACCCTTAACAACCACTGCAAAGCTCCCTCGTTCTCTCCAGCAAGAAATATTCTACCCTTCTCAATGCATCTATTTATACTGTGAAGAATATAGTAAATGTAAGACATTTCCAACATCGCCAACTAGCTCTAGCTTTGCTCCTTTACTTTTCAAAGAACAAATAGTCAATAACCATAAAATAACTTCCTAAATTATTTTCTGTGAAATAAAATGTAAGATGTGTGACTCTGTGTCCTTATACAGGAAATATCTTTAAAAACTGAATGAAAGTCTAAGCTTTTATCTTGTATCATCTCAATTTTGAGAAAACCAATTTTCCTCAATTCTGTTAGCATCCTTTTAAAATAGTCCAACTATCACAATGACCATCAGGCACTTAACCAGTGGACTCAGCAACGTTTGCAATGGGGAGTGGGAGGAATACCTGTATCACTTCAGTGTTGAGATTGTTTGAGGGACACCAAATTTCAAACTCTAAAAGGTTGCTTCATCCTAATCCCTTCTGTAAGTCTAGCAGGATCACACCTCTTTCAACTTTGCTTTGATGCTTGATGTTTAACAGAATTCCAAGCACACAACTTTAATAATTACATGTATAATGTCATAATAAATCCAACATGGTACCTCGAATGAATATGGATGAGCTTTGTTTAATAATATTTTATCAAATATGTTGTATTCCGTATGTTAGAATAACGAAAACATATTAGAGGAGGGAGGAAGGAAATGGTTTTAAATAGCAACATCATTACTTTTACATTAAAAGAAAAAATAAGTGTCTGCAAGTATCTTCATAAATGGCAAAAAACTTCTTTGCTCCTCAAGCTATTTACTGGGAAATTTGGAGTGAGGAACAGTACTTGAGCTGTTTAACTCTTGAAATTTTTGAGTTTTCACCACCACCACACAATCATATTTGGAAAAATTGTCCAAAGGAGGTCACTTTAATCCTCTACATCCAGTCACTCACATCACGGCCCAAAAGCTGGAATGAACTCATACACCAGAAACATAACAGGAGGAGGAGAATTTGACTGTTGGTCACTTCTGAACTTTGATATTGTATGAGAGAATGTTATACAGATTCATCAATATGCTTATTATTTACCCTCGTCAAGTGATGGGTTTAATGTTATCAAGATTCACCCACAGCTTTTTACATTTTAATCTTTTGCTTTTTCTTAGAAAAGAAACTTGATATTTCTGTTAAGGTGTGGTGTTCAGAACAGCATACGGAAACCTACAATACACTGTATTATAGGCTTATTTGTATTACCTTAAAGAGTCACATTCAAACTATTATATTGGGCATGTCTTAATCAGTTGAATTCACTTTATTCATTGATCAAATATTCATTTATTAAGTATACACTCTTGTCCTCAATATTTTCAACTTTTTTTCCTACTACTGCACTATGTTTAAAAATTATCTGTGATTACAGCGCTAGACCATATCCACGTGGTAGATGGGTTTTTTTAATAGACCTATGTTTTCATGTCTTCCTATTCCATGGTATCGTCTTCCTGCACTGACTTTGAACTTGACCATGTAATTTATTTTGTTTAATGACATAGTGACCTAAAGGTGTTTCCCTCACACAAGCAGAGGCACATTTTCATCTCTTCCTTTTGCATCTCTTCCATTTCCATGGAGACTGGCCTGCTGGTAGATGTGTAAGACCCATGGAGAGTGGAGTCATCTCGTCCAGCCCACCAGCGGACTTCTGGTGCAGGCAGCTGAGAGCAGCTAAGCCTTTTCCACACTATACAGCCACCCAGCCAACCCATAAACACAAGAAATAGGAAATGAAAGTTTCTTTAAACTCTGAGTTTTAAGATGGTTTGTTACACAGCAATAAAAGATGTAGCTATCTTGGGAATAGGAGGTTGATAAAGCTGTCTCATCCCAGAGCCCCAGAGACTGCACTTAAAAAAAGAGAAGAAAAATAAAAACAATGTACTCACAGATATGAGTGAGACATGACTTCCTCTTTCATTGAGTTCTGTTGAATTACTAAGCTCTGTGCTCAAGCCTCTTGTATCTCCTTGTGCCCAAATTGTCTCCTGTCATAACCTTCGGAAGGTCTGTTGTTTTCTTCCTCTAACCTGTACTGCTGATGCCTTCAACTAACTTTGTCATTTAACAAACACTTCCTTCTTTGACTCCCTTAATCTACCTTTAAAAAAAAAAAAATCTTTGCTCTCCTACATGAATCAGATTACATGTCACAACCTTGGCTATTAATATTTGTTCAATGCTTTGGATTTGTTTGCTTTGGATTGTGGGTCCTACACTAAAGTGCTCAGAAAAATGGAAGGCAGTCAGATAGATGGGGAATGACTTTACCACATCACTTTGTCAGACTGCATAAAGTACAGGACACAGGGTTATGGTTATTTATTATTTAACAATGGAAATAAATGATATTTAGAATTATGCTGATTTTAAAGTAACATTTTATATTTTTTAGATTTTTAAAATTAATTTTACTGGTACATTTTAGGTATACAATATAATGACACTCATCATTGGAAATTTCTACCTTTCCATAATCTCTCTTGATTCTTATTTTTCCCCATTCCCCTGCCCTCCCTTCAACCCCTCCACCCCTCCCTATTTACAAAGACTTTGTTTCTATTTTTTCATTTTCTCCTATTAATTCCATTAAAGTAACATTTTAATGAGAAAAATGTACAGGCATATATTAGCTCTTAAGAAGAGAAATATTAAATAATTAAGCTAAGTAATACATGGAATAAAATTCAGCAAATAAAAATAATTTCCAAGGCTTGGAAATTTATTTAGCTAAACATCCTACTTGTCTTATATCCAAGCAATTTTATTCCTCCCAAAAAATGAGAGTATGTGTATGTATGTGTTTACCAAAAGTCATCTTCTTCATTCATAACATTAAATAAACTAGAAATAAAGGTGGATTCAAAAGAAATAAATCAATGAAATAAAATATTATATTTGCACCATGGAATGCACAAAAGTTGTTACCTAATGACTCCAAGTAAATGAAGATCAACAGAAGGTAACGCTAACCTTGGAGATCAAAAAAGAAATTGTCACAGAACCTTCTGGATTATGGGAATATTCTGTAGACGTGGGTCTCAATGTGTGCACCAAGAGCCTGATGATTGGCCATGTGTTCCCAAGAGCCTGTGAGAGAGTCTATGAGGTCCTCTTCTTTTCAAATCTGCATCCGTAGGAGGCCAAATTTCATATACACAGTGCAAATGACATGCCACAACAGATTAAAAGAGGAAAAAGATATCAGAACTCAGATGACTTCTGTGATGCCAGACTTTAGAGATTCAAAATGATGTGAAACAATGCCACTCTTCTCACTAATTTTTAGAAAATAGTTATTTTTCATTAAATTATGTTCATTGAATAGTATATTAGTTACATATGAACATGTGATGGACATATTATTTTTATTGAATTGATATTTTGAAATTTGCTTCAGTTTGTTCAGTGATAATGTTTAGAGATAGAATTCACATAAACCAAAATTTATTGAGTTCTTAAAAATGTAAGTGTGAAGCAGACCTGAGACCAAAGATTTTGAGAACTACTGGTCTATAACTTGAGCTGGGTGAAGGTTGCATGGGTGTTTCTATAGGTAAGCATTGATCAGGGGACACATTTAAGATTTGTGCACTTCATTGCATGTGTATCTCTGGTTAAACATTTTAAAATATATGAAAAAATAAATATGCTTAGACGTGAAGAAAATTGGAGGAAAATGAAATATAATTAAGTATATACACATTCAAAAGATCAGTAGTAATTAGACCAAATCAACAAATTTCCTCTGAAGCCTATTGACAAGTGAGAATCAGCTGAACAGTTTAATTATCTAGAAAAATATTGGGCAAAAAAGTTAAGTCAGCAAGCTTTGATCCTTTATGGTAAGGTTACTCTATATCTCTCATAGAAAGAATGAGAAAGCCAGATATGAGAGAGATAAGCAGAGGGTTGGATGCAGAACATGTTCTTTCAATTCCTTCCTTCCAGCTTCACCCCGTGCTAGCTCTCCAAGTGTGCAACGGAAAGCACATTGGGTTACAGAAGAAACTAAGAGACTGACAAAGGATGAGAAATGATAGGTGAGGAAAGAGCAGAAAGATCCACTTGGAAAAGATGCCAGCTGTTAGACTAAAGAGAAACTGGAAGGTTCGTTGACATGAATAGTTCCAAGGGGATCTTGAAGTAATATTAAGGTCCAAAATGGCCCAATTCTTTTTGACCAAGAATTCTCATAGTAAGTCACAACTTATAGAAAACCTGTTAGGAAAGTTAAAATCATATAATTGCTTTATTTTTGCATAGCTTATAAGACCTAATTTTAAGTTTTTGAAAAAAATAGGTTGATATGTTATTAATGATTGATTGCCAAAATTCATTTCAATAAATGTTTAATAATATTTATTAGACATTTTTAGAGAGATGAATTTCATCTTTACAATATAATGAGCTTTAAAGGAAGATACACTTTATTTATCTGTCTATCGATTATCAGAGATCTGAATTCTATTCCAATGAATAGAGCTGCTGTGAACATTCTTCACAAGATTTTGTATGGACATGTGGTTTTTATTTCTTTTTGGTAGATAACATAGAAGTAGAATTGCTGGATCATATAGTAAATCTATATTGAACTCTTTGGAAATTGATAAACTGTTTTCCAAAATGATTGCATCACTTTATATTTGCACCAGCAATCTATGAGGATTCTGATTTCTCTGCATCTTTTCCAATAATACTTTTTAATATCTATCTTTCTTGTATTATTATAGCTGGGAGAGAATTTCATTCAAGATTTTATTTGCATTATTCTTATAATTAATGCTACTGGACATCTTTTCATATGTTTAGTGGCCATTTGTGTATCTTTTTTAAGAAGATATTTATTCATGGACATATTACAAAACCCATTTATGAACTCACAACTCTGTAGGTAAGAAGTCTCTGCACCATGTGGGTATATTCCCTGGTCAGAAACTATAGAGGGCATATTTACAAGGGGCAGAAACACTGATGACCATCTCAGATATTGGGACTTACACACACACACACACACACACACACACACACACGCATGCACACTCCTACCACAGACCTCAAATGTTAAAGTTACATCTACCAAATTATAGCATTTATCAGTCTTTCATAAATTTCTATGTAACAGACAAATCAAGCACATTATCACCATATGCAGATGTTAAATCACACGGCAACACAGTGGGAGATTAAAGAATAGATTCCACATATTCTCCAGAATCCAAATTAATCTTCTCTATAAAACCCCCACACTGTGATAGAGATCATCAACCAAGATTACAATACCACCTGGCATGTTACAATTAAACATAACAGAGAGCATTTTTAAAGACACAATGTCATTTAATTGTCATGGCAACCTATTAGTGAAAGTTTATCATTTCTTCTTCAAATGAGGAAATTATTTGAGTGAGTCCCACAGCACAGTAAAGAATAAATAAAAATCTCCTTGCTTTTGGTGCTATCATAATTAATTTATGTATACCACCACACTTGGAAAAGGCAAAGGGATATTACCCCTGTGCTAGAGGGATTTGTATGTTGATAATGCATCAGA